TATTTAGCCATAAGTTTATGCTATTGTCGGTATATGTCGGTCAGTGACAACCAGTTTTGATAAAATTTGTGCGGTCATGATGTAATTGTCGAGCTAGACACATTTTTACAATTTAGAAATACCTGGGCAATATTATACATGACTGTGGCTTTTATGCCTTTAAGTGAACCGATAGGCCCTAACCTGCGGAAGCTACAGCCTGAAACGAAGGAAGTCATTCAAGTCAGGTTTCTGATTTAAACGGTCGCACTTGTTCAAAGGTTTTAATTCAGAGGTAATTGGTATGGCATAGACATTCCCAAATGATGCCGAAAGAAAACTGATGAAATTATCTGACTTTTCCTGTTTCCACGCGGTTGCCTCAGCAGAAGGAAGAAACGAAAAAGATGTCGCTTTCAACAAGTTTGTGTGACTGTATTTTGAGAACACACACACACACACACAAAAAGAAAAAAAAAAAAGAAAAAAAAAAAATGCTGAAGGAACTAAAACAACATGATACTGTAAGATGAATATATTGTTTGACAACCCTTCAGTGGAATGCGATAGTTCAGCCGGCACGACAAATAAGTCTTACAGCCTGTGCAAAGATCATTAACTCAGCTTACCTACTGGAAGGACCAATATCCGTTTAGGCTGACCCGCGCTGATTCATATTTTTCCAGGCGAAAGAAACCAAGAACCAAGAGAGTATCAAGGAAATAATTCATCACTCGATCCGTTTTGCAACGAAACAGAAAAACAACACAAAGAACAAAATTTTCTGATAGGCAATGACATACAACCATAAATAGATAGTTATACTGTATAGTTGCTCACTGACTGTTAACCATGGTCCTATTTACCTTGCAACCGCATGTCGAGGTCGGACGCCTTTTGTTGCCTTCCTCTTAAGCGCAACTCAAAGGCTTTTTGAAAATGAAATCAGGAACCTAGCTTATAGTTGAAAATTTGTTCCCTTTTCTGAACTTAGCTTTGCTCAAAAAGCACGGAAGATAAATGTTTAGCGGGAAAGGAAAGCTCGACTCTGTGATTCAGCTAGGACTTCCTGTAGACGCGATTGCCACAGCGACGGGTCAAGTCAAAGTATACATGTAAGTCATTAAAAGATCTAAGGAAATCTGTCAAATTGACGGGCAGTTATAACGGATACAAACATTTTGTTTACGAAAACGTCCTTCATAGTGCCACTTTTAAAAAGTACATTTGATCATATGTTGTGAGAAAGTTTTTCCTGTTGCCACTGTTTGCCGAGTACTGAAACTATCTTAAAGAATGGATAATAGAATGTATAGAAAATATGACGGGGATAAATATAAACTTAATTTCCGCCACAAGTGTTTAAGGTCGGTATACCAAGCCTAGGCATAATTAGCCATAAGTTTATGCTTTTGCCGGTATATGTCAGTCAGAGACAGCCAGTTTCGATAAAATTTGTGCGGTCATGATGATGTCGAGCTCGACACGTTTTTTTTAACAATCTGGGCAGTATTATAGATAACTGTGACTTTTGTGGCTTTTGGTGAACAGATAAGCTTTAGCGGAAGCTACAGCCTGAAAGGAAAAAGTCATCCAGGTCAGGTTTCTGATTTTCACGGTCGCACTTGTTTAAAGATTGAGAGGGAGTAGACGCTCCCAAATGATGCCGAAAGAAAACTGATAAAATCATCTGACTATTCTCGCTTCCAAGCGGTGGGTTCAGCAGTGAAGCAAGAAAAGAAAAACAAATGTCACTTTCAACAAATCGAGTTGGAAGTTTGTGTGACAGTATTTTGAGAACAAAAAAAAACTGAAGGAACTAAAAGAACATGATATTATAAGATGAATGCAGTACTTGACAACCCTTCAGTGGAACGCGATAGTTCAGCCGGCACGACAAATTAGTCTTACAGCCTGTGCAAAGATCCTTAATCTCAGCTTACCTACTGGAAGGACGAATGTCCGTTTAGGCTGGCTGCTGATTCATATTTTTCCAGACGAGAGAAACCAAGAACCAAGACAGTATCACGGAAATAATTCATCACTCGATCCGGTTTATTTATTCTTATAATCTGTCATCCCACTTGGTCACAAGAAGTTAATAAGATACCTGCCTGATCTAAGTAAGTTTGTCTGACGCAAAGTCCTCGTGAAATAAGGATAACAAACTAGGTTTCTTAAATACTGAGGGACACTCCATGATTATAAAGGCTGTATAGTCAACGTTATTAAAAACTGGATCATTGGAAAATGCAATTTGAAAGTTTTCAACTGCTTAGTCATCTTGTCCATGACCCATTGTAACATGCTTTACAAACTGTAAACGTACGCGTGAATTTTTGGGGCGTTTTTATTTTATTTTTTTTAGCTTAGTTTTCTATATTTTGGGGACGTTTTTAATACAATAATTATTCTACTCTCGCTTGTTAGATGTGGGATAATCATAGTCAACTCGACGCTACGGGCGTCAATGCTTATCCATATCCAACGCGCGCTCGTGGAATAATTAATTCGGAAGCTTATAATAAACCCTTTTTTTCATTGTTCATGTCATCATCGATCAGCGTGGTTTTGAAAAAAAAATACGAATCATAGAAATGCGTCCTTCATTGCTTAGTAAATGAAACTCTTTATTTTTCTACACGCCCTGGGATGTTCACTACGAAAAAGTTGTTGCCGGGAGACAATATCATCGCAAAGGGCGCGTAGAGTTTATAAAGGTTGCCGGACTGCTCTTAATTATCCTTCCTTCTCTCAATAACCGGGACAGGTTAAAAAAGAATCGACGTCAAGACTTAAATTTGAATTTCGAAATCAGACCAGAGTGTTTTCGTAATTATTTAGAGTTAAGATAAAAAAAACCAAAACAAAACAAAACAAAAAAATGTTGTTAAACAGAAGACAGTTCATAAACTGTGCAACTTGCGTATCGTATAAATAAGAAAGAACTTGGCCAGTACCCTGGCATAGTAACCTCACGTTTGGTCCGTAACCGTATATATTTTACTTATGAGTCTGTGTTTATATAGTAGCATACGCAGGAAATCACTGAGAAAGTATTTTAACGGGCAATACGTATGGCTTATAGCGTGAACAGTCAGGTCACAGAAGTAGATCCTCGATCATTAACTTGATATCTAGTAGTGAGCGGTTAAACACAACGCTTATAGCACTAAACTCCCTTTAACTGATTGGATGGATTCCTGGCATGTCTTCTCATTTTGCGTGTGAATCGACTACTTCTATTATGACTAAAATGTATTTAGATTGCATCTTTCTTTCTTCTCTACTCAAGTTTAGGTCAGTTATGCCTATATATACCTATATATAAATATATATATTGTTTTCTTTTATACCGAAGATGATGGGTTAATCCCGTTGCTGATTATAAATGCAGGTGTGAAAATTAATATGCACCGAGCAATTCGAAGTATATTCATATTATTTATTATGGTGATATTGCTCGAATTATGACTTCAATCAATCTTTCAAGTTGACCATTTTCAATATGATATTAAAATGAAACATTGACATCGTGGTTGCACGTATCTGATTCATGCGACCAAAACAGTGAAAGTGTGAGTCATGCAGCAGCTACTTAATTGCTTAAAGTGACTGGAAAATGAAACATTTTTGAAAAAAAGGACGTTCTTGAAGAGGCTGAGTCAAGAAATTCTGTGTCGACGCTTTATTTGGTACTGTTGCATGCATCGTCTGACGGTGATGAAGTCGATTATCTGTCACTCATATCATCAGTAAAAGGCACAGTTTTACTAATTTATTTCCTTTATTTAGGTGATATTAATCAAAAATCTCACTAAGACAGGAGAAAAAATAGGATCAAGCCTCTTTAACACGATTCATTAGTTTTTATTGACCTTTACATCTTTGAGTTCAGTCGTTCAATTTTACTGCAGTCATCATATTGTTTCATTTTTTTTTTTTTTTTTTTTTTTTAAATCGTTTCTAACGCCTTAACGTTTTATTACTCATGCTGCAATTTTCTTGTATTGTTTCTATGTAAATATTTTAGAGTTTTAGTCAGTGTTTCATTAGCATTCTTATAATGGATTGTATATATTTGGGCGCATGCAANACTGATTGAATGACTGACTATCTGTCTGACTTGCTGACTGATGCACTGACTGACTGACCGACTGACTGACCCTTTACTATAGAGATTTCACTGCTTAGTATCGTTACAAATTTTTCCCCGTCATTAGTATCATTTGAATTGTCCTAAGAGCTCGCTAAAACACTTCATCGCAAGAGAGTGAACATAAGTCTCCTTCGCAGCTTTTTCGATCAGGGCAACATGCGAAAGAAACTAGGCAAACATAGACTGCACCCCAAACTGCTCCAGTTATACAGTCTTTTATTTTATGCTCGTGAGACTCCTATGACTCTAAAAAGGATAATGCTACATGAAATACTTAATACAGATCACACTTCTGAGCTAAAGCTGACAGAACGTACAGTTCAGCATTGAAGGAAGCTTGGTTACCAACTCGATCGTGAAAATGCGACCACTGACGCGAACGTAATACTTACTTTGTGGTTTTGAAACGATGGCGATCCAAAACAGCTATTTATAAATGTTTGTACAAAATTAGCTATTTGAATAACGAGAAGTTTATTTGTTCATCACATTTGGCATCTCTAACATTCACTAACTGAGACTTTGAACTCCAACGCCAAAAACAGGATATGACTGTTTATCAAGCAATGAGTCCTGCTGAAATGAATACCTTCCTTTCCAGCTTTTTCACTTAAAATAACCAATAACCGCAATATCAGCCAGTGAAAGAAATGAAATATATACACTGAGAAAAGACCAACTCCCTAAGAAGATTTTACTGACTCCATTGTCTCACGAATATTATGTTGATTATGTTTATTGACAATGGACTCTGATGATGTACATATTTTTAATAGTTTTGGCTATTTCTTATTGTCCTAACACGCTGGAGCGATTTGCATTCTCTCGTTATAGCTTCCCTTTTAGTTGGCGATGAGGTGGTCAATGCCACACGGAGCGAAGTGCTGCAGCGCAGTCGTTACCGAAAAGGAAGTGATTGTCAGTCACGTAGAGCTGGTAAAAGACAGAAGCTGCTGTTTCGCCTTGAATCACGGCTATATAAGTCACAATGATTCTTCACTGAAGTAAACAGTTTGCCTGAAGTTTTGAACGTACAGTTTGAGGAGCCAAGAACAAGAAAGATGGTGAGTGACGGTAATTCTGATTTCAGTCGTCTCCATGTAATTCTTTTAAAAATGTGTTTAGCTTTAACTGATCGACTTAAGTTTGAGACTTAAATGGGCCATTATAGACTCATTGTGCCATGTCAGATATTTTTCGTGGGGTTAAAATCGGAGAGGAAGGGTACATCTTTTATTTTAATTTCCGGCAAACCTTTCACGCATTACGACTGACCTAGCAATGTGCGTTTCTACTGGTGCAAGAGTAAGTTATTATAACTGAACATAATTAGATGAAAAGGTAAGAATTTAGAAAATATATATATCTATTCTTTTTTTCTGTTACACACCTGTACCTTATTCGTCTTGATAGGGAGTTCCGTCTGTTGCTGCAGTCTATTTCATCCTGTTTGCTTTCGTCGGTCATTTGAGAGCTTCAGTGGTAAGCTGACATCAATTTCTCATATTATTTGCTTACTTGAACTATTTAATTGTAATTATATTTTGAAGCATTTTATATGGGTGGATAGTGCAAAATTGTAGTTTTTCGTAGATTTCAACTTTGAATGACTTACATCCAGGAAAGGGACCCCAACAGGACTGGACGACACACACGACACAAAACACATACAACCTTTTCGTTCCTAGACCGAAAACTGAAGCAGGCAAAAGAAGTTTTCAATGTCGCCCGTTCGGTTCTCTGGAACAGCTTGCTATTAAGCGCTAAGATAGAGCCCACTTTTAGAGGGAGCTCTTTTAAGTCCGATATAATCGAGATTGATAGATAATAAAGGTTTTTTTTAAAAATAGTTTTTGGTATAATTCTGCACATTACTTTAGTTAATGTGATTAGATAACTTAACAAGGCTCGATGGAAGAGCATGCATGCCATTGATACCGAGGATAAATGAATATTACCTTACCTCACCTTACCTTACCTTAAACAGGTTTGCTGTCGTGCCTTTTTCGTGGTTATTTTTTTCCCTCATTACAGTGGTCCATCGTCAAGTTCGCTATCTTAGGCTACGCTCTCAAATTGCATGTATAAGCCACAAATAAATGGGAACAAGTCTCGAATTATTAATTAATAATAGTCTCTTTTCAAAATTTTCCCACGGACATCCCCATCTATCAAAAGCTATAACTGATAGCATCAGAACTTAAGTCTTTTTTCTCTTACAAAAAAAGCAACAAAAACCACACTATCATAATGCTAAAAGTCTTATTCTTATAAATTAAACAGATTCCAAAGGAGGAAATAGCGGAGAATTTGAATTTGGAGCAGTATTACCTTCGCATAACCGAGAGTGGAACAACGTTTGCAGAGAAAATAGAAATAGACGAGGAGAAAGACATGGAATACTTTCATGTTCCAGCTCACAATGATGTGACAGAAGCCGCTGACTATTTGTACGACTTTAAAAATGCAAGTGAAACCATGGAAAGTTGCTGTCTTTTTAATGATAGAATTAAATTTATTTGGCCATTACATCATGTTTAGTAGCTTTTAAGTTAGTTTCAAACTAATAAATTGTTTGGTAAATTAGTGTGACCCATGCTTGCTATCACGTGACTCGAATAAAATCTAATCTTAATTATCACTTTTATCACTAGTTACCTGCAATGTATTTTTTTTAAAGGATATGTCTGTTCGTCGGGTGAAAAGTAAAGCCATTTGCTATCTTGGACCACTTCCAGACGACTTGCCAAAACCAGCCCATTTGAAAGCTGAATTGCAAGGGGTATGTATGGTTAAAAGATTGTGAACTCTGTTTTCACAAATTGCCATTGAGAAAAAAATAAATAAATAAATAAAGTGCGTTGGCTTGTGCATGTTCTTGTTTTGGCGGTAAAGCCGAGCGTAACGCCAGTGGCGAAACCGCGCGGGAATTGTTGAGGAGCCGAGTTGAATCTCCCTACTATCTTCGGTTGCGTGAGAATAAAATGGCGGCTCCGACAGCAAAAATCATTCGCACACGAAACGGGCCAGCTACGCTCCTCAATTTGACGTCTTCTTCCCTTCCCGGTTTCTTCTCCATTTTTTACTCAGTTCATTCTAAACTTGGTACCTGGGCAAATTTTTGCATAATGCGTTAAAATCACGAAGCACACCAAGAAGCCACAACATCACTTCTTGTTCATTAGTGTGAACCAGTAATGTTTCCGACTTGTTTTAAAGGATCCCACCATTCATACAAGTGTTTAATTTTGGTTTTCAGCTTTCCCAAGTTCCCCCCAGTGAGAACAAAGTCATAGTTCAAAAGTATTGGGTCGTATCAGAGCAGGTCGACAAAATCTTTCTCCGACGAGAAGTGCAAGAATTCTGTGGCCAATTCCCAATCTATCGCTTGCAAGAAGTTGACTTTAATTCTACTCGCGAGGCAGAGATCGACGGAGGACACNCCAAACTGCTCCAGTTATACAGTCTTTTATTTTATGCTCGTGAGACTCCTATGACTCTAAAAAGGATAATGCTACATGAAATACTTAATACAGATCACACTTCTGAGCTAAAGCTGACAGAACGTACAGTTCAGCATTGAAGGAAGCTTGGTTACCAACTCGATCGTGAAAATGCGACCACTGACGCGAACGTAATACTTACTTTGTGGTTTTGAAACGATGGCGATCCAAAACAGCTATTTATAAATGTTTGTACAAAATTAGCTATTTGAATAACGAGAAGTTTATTTGTTCATCACATTTGGCATCTCTAACATTCACTAACTGAGACTTTGAACTCCAACGCCAAAAACAGGATATGACTGTTTATCAAGCAATGAGTCCTGCTGAAATGAATACCTTCCTTTCCAGCTTTTTCACTTAAAATAACCAATAACCGCAATATCAGCCAGTGAAAGAAATGAAATATATACACTGAGAAAAGACCAACTCCCTAAGAAGATTTTACTGACTCCATTGTCTCACGAATATTATGTTGATTATGTTTATTGACAATGGACTCTGATGATGTACATATTTTTAATAGTTTTGGCTATTTCTTATTGTCCTAACACGCTGGAGCGATTTGCATTCTCTCGTTATAGCTTCCCTTTTAGTTGGCGATGAGGTGGTCAATGCCACACGGAGCGAAGTGCTGCAGCGCAGTCGTTACCGAAAAGGAAGTGATTGTCAGTCACGTAGAGCTGGTAAAAGACAGAAGCTGCTGTTTCGCCTTGAATCACGGCTATATAAGTCACAATGATTCTTCACTGAAGTAAACAGTTTGCCTGAAGTTTTGAACGTACAGTTTGAGGAGCCAAGAACAAGAAAGATGGTGAGTGACGGTAATTCTGATTTCAGTCGTCTCCATGTAATTCTTTTAAAAATGTGTTTAGCTTTAACTGATCGACTTAAGTTTGAGACTTAAATGGGCCATTATAGACTCATTGTGCCATGTCAGATATTTTTCGTGGGGTTAAAATCGGAGAGGAAGGGTACATCTTTTATTTTAATTTCCGGCAAACCTTTCACGCATTACGACTGACCTAGCAATGTGCGTTTCTACTGGTGCAAGAGTAAGTTATTATAACTGAACATAATTAGATGAAAAGGTAAGAATTTAGAAAATATATATATCTATTCTTTTTTTCTGTTACACACCTGTACCTTATTCGTCTTGATAGGGAGTTCCGTCTGTTGCTGCAGTCTATTTCATCCTGTTTGCTTTCGTCGGTCATTTGAGAGCTTCAGTGGTAAGCTGACATCAATTTCTCATATTATTTGCTTACTTGAACTATTTAATTGTAATTATATTTTGAAGCATTTTATATGGGTGGATAGTGCAAAATTGTAGTTTTTCGTAGATTTCAACTTTGAATGACTTACATCCAGGAAAGGGACCCCAACAGGACTGGACGACACACACGACACAAAACACATACAACCTTTTCGTTCCTAGACCGAAAACTGAAGCAGGCAAAAGAAGTTTTCAATGTCGCCCGTTCGGTTCTCTGGAACAGCTTGCTATTAAGCGCTAAGATAGAGCCCACTTTTAGAGGGAGCTCTTTTAAGTCCGATATAATCGAGATTGATAGATAATAAAGGTTTTTTTTAAAAATAGTTTTTGGTATAATTCTGCACATTACTTTAGTTAATGTGATTAGATAACTTAACAAGGCTCGATGGAAGAGCATGCATGCCATTGATACCGAGGATAAATGAATATTACCTTACCTCACCTTACCTTACCTTAAACAGGTTTGCTGTCGTGCCTTTTTCGTGGTTATTTTTTTCCCTCATTACAGTGGTCCATCGTCAAGTTCGCTATCTTAGGCTACGCTCTCAAATTGCATGTATAAGCCACAAATAAATGGGAACAAGTCTCGAATTATTAATTAATAATAGTCTCTTTTCAAAATTTTCCCACGGACATCCCCATCTATCAAAAGCTATAACTGATAGCATCAGAACTTAAGTCTTTTTTCTCTTACAAAAAAAGCAACAAAAACCACACTATCATAATGCTAAAAGTCTTATTCTTATAAATTAAACAGATTCCAAAGGAGGAAATAGCGGAGAATTTGAATTTGGAGCAGTATTACCTTCGCATAACCGAGAGTGGAACAACGTTTGCAGAGAAAATAGAAATAGACGAGGAGAAAGACATGGAATACTTTCATGTTCCAGCTCACAATGATGTGACAGAAGCCGCTGACTATTTGTACGACTTTAAAAATGCAAGTGAAACCATGGAAAGTTGCTGTCTTTTTAATGATAGAATTAAATTTATTTGGCCATTACATCATGTTTAGTAGCTTTTAAGTTAGTTTCAAACTAATAAATTGTTTGGTAAATTAGTGTGACCCATGCTTGCTATCACGTGACTCGAATAAAATCTAATCTTAATTATCACTTTTATCACTAGTTACCTGCAATGTATTTTTTTTAAAGGATATGTCTGTTCGTCGGGTGAAAAGTAAAGCCATTTGCTATCTTGGACCACTTCCAGACGACTTGCCAAAACCAGCCCATTTGAAAGCTGAATTGCAAGGGGTATGTATGGTTAAAAGATTGTGAACTCTGTTTTCACAAATTGCCATTGAGAAAAAAATAAATAAATAAATAAAGTGCGTTGGCTTGTGCATGTTCTTGTTTTGGCGGTAAAGCCGAGCGTAACGCCAGTGGCGAAACCGCGCGGGAATTGTTGAGGAGCCGAGTTGAATCTCCCTACTATCTTCGGTTGCGTGAGAATAAAATGGCGGCTCCGACAGCAAAAATCATTCGCACACGAAACGGGCCAGCTACGCTCCTCAATTTGACGTCTTCTTCCCTTCCCGGTTTCTTCTCCATTTTTTACTCAGTTCATTCTAAACTTGGTACCTGGGCAAATTTTTGCATAATGCGTTAAAATCACGAAGCACACCAAGAAGCCACAACATCACTTCTTGTTCATTAGTGTGAACCAGTAATGTTTCCGACTTGTTTTAAAGGATCCCACCATTCATACAAGTGTTTAATTTTGGTTTTCAGCTTTCCCAAGTTCCCCCCAGTGAGAACAAAGTCATAGTTCAAAAGTATTGGGTCGTATCAGAGCAGGTCGACAAAATCTTTCTCCGACGAGAAGTGCAAGAATTCTGTGGCCAATTCCCAATCTATCGCTTGCAAGAAGTTGACTTTAATTCTACTCGCGAGGCAGAGATCGACGGAGGACACCCCCGTTTAGGTAAATAGTGCTAAAAGTGCTAAAAACAACAATGAAAATGTCTTCCCAGATGCCTTGTTCTTTTATTCAATCTTTGCTCTGTGGAGTAACTAATTGGAACGTAATAAAAGAAAAAATAAATCAAGTAAAGTCACACACTAGAGGGCTTATCATAAGATTGTGCGTCAAGTGTTTCGCTATGGAGCATTATTTTAGTTGCACCTCTTAAAAACCTCTATTTTGATTCGTTCTTGTTAATCTGCACTTCTTTTGTTCTGAGGGCGTGGGGCATTGTTTGTGTTCTTTGCCTATTGCTTCTTTTCGCCAGTTATAAAGAACCTTATAAATGGTGCAAGTCACCCCTGAGGTAAAGATAACCTAGCTCGCGTCACAGATAAGTTACATCGTATTCGCTCCTCTCAAAAAAATCGGGGAGAGGATTTTTTGAGGGGTGGGGGGTGGTTCTTTACAGGATAGCTACACCTTCATATGCTGAGAATTCGGTAACGCGTCCGGATGCACCCCAGGTTAACCTAATATATCTAATCAGGTTAGCTGCAGCAGTCTCGAAAAACAATATCATTATGTTCTCTGTTTTTTTTTACAGAGACATATAAAAAGTATTTCCTGTGAAACACCAGAGACAATCATGGGATTTTAATAGAAACTGTTACCAGGCAACTTATATTAACCTTTTCATTGACAGCCAGAGCTCTTACATTAGCCAATCTGACAGGACTGGGTTTCTGCAACAAAGGATTGCCACCCACGCTGGAATGTAGCCCCGATGATTATATCTTCCGGATTCAGATTGGTAGCCCGTCCTGTACTTATTGGCTGGTCTGCGTTTTTGACAAGGGAGCGCGCGTCGAGAGGTGCGAGGACTGGTCGCACAGGCGGAGCACCATGCTTTGTTACAGTGTTAGCTGTCCTCCTAAATGAAAGGACTGAGCTGCATCGGTTTAAGAATGACGAGGTATCATGGATGAGGAAAATACGCTGTTACAAACAGAAGGTCTAACGATAAGTTTAAATGTATTTGTTAATTTGATTGCACTGATTAATAAATTTTTAGATTGTCAATTGACTTATAATTAACCAAATAAATTGAAAGACGCAAAGTTTATAACTTGTGCCAGATTTTTTTTTCAATTAAAGCTTATGGTTCTCTCCCCACTCCATTCCACTAGCTTTTGAGAGTTTTTCTTTCTGCTTTAGACCAAAGTCGTGGGATTTATACACCCTTTTCCGGACTAACCAGCCAAAATACTTGAAAGCATTAAACAAACTTGGAAAAAGGCAGAGAGAAAGCTATTTCATTTTTCATTTTAATTCAAGTTCCCTCATGAAAAATATCATTAATCCTCCACCGGAACCCAAGATTTTCAACTTCCTTATTCCAAGGAAACGTGAGTGCATCCCTGATCAGATCCGCTGTTCTGACTTGTCTCATAGCTGCGTTTTCATCATTTCTCGACTATAATTTGATTTTTAGGTCAATACAGACACTGAGAGGACCTCAATAAGTATGTCATACTTTACTGATAAAGATAAAAGCATAATTTAAATGGAACAACCAAGAACCAAAATGAAACAAGTCTGTACGAAGAGCAATATGCCAGGGTTATTGCAAATATTATATGCTCTTGACTTAGGTCATTTAACAGTCAGTAATAGATTTTCAAATGAACTGAGCCCTCAAATTTTATCCAACGCCGAATTAAACCGAACGACCTTTACCGATTAATGCCCTAGTCGTGCCACACAAGATCTTGACTAACTGATGAAGAACATGGCATGCAGTTTAAAAAAATTGGGCGAGAACAAAGGGTGTTGGCTTAACGACGGACGGATGTCCGTATTATTAGCGGGCTATGTTTAGGGTACAATACCAGACACTTAATACTGTCCAAAATAAGCGGCTTTACGTATGAACCGGGTGCTGCCCGTAAATCATGCTCGAGTATATTTACTCGAACTCAGCTATCCTCAGTACTGATATCATACAGCTCAGTGGCAAAATAAACAAAAGAATCTTAACAACATCGCTTTTCGTGCAGTTAAAAATGTTAACATACTTACCCTTTTAGGTGTATAAAGACGCTTGTTATATTGTCCTTCTGTCATCTTTTTCGCACTTATAGAGGACACTATAGCGGCTACCATTAATGCAATGGTAACATAATTTATAGTAAATCGTGTCCAAAGACTGCAACGAAACAAAAAAAACAACACAAAGAACAACATTTTCTGATAGGCAATGACATACAACCGTAAATAGATAGTTATACTATATAGTTGCTCACTGACTGTTAACCATGGTCCTGTTTACCTTGCAACCGCATGTCGAAGTCGGACGCCTTTTGTTGCCTTCCTCTTAAGCGCAACTCAAAGGCTTTTCGAAAATGAAATCAAGAACCTAGCATATAGTTGAAAATTTGTTCCCTTTTCTGAAAACTTCTGAACTTAGCTTTGCTCAAAAAGCGCGGAAGATAAATGTTTAGCAGGAAAGGAAAGACCCTCAAGGCATTCATATTCGAGTTATAGTAAGCCTTAGGTATAATTAGAAGATATTTTAAAGCTCTAAAACTAATGAATAAAAACTCTAATAAGCTCCAGGCTCGAATAAACTACAAAGGTCAATAAACGCCTGATCCGCGAGTCAAGTTTAAAATAAACACCGGGGGCGTCTAATCGAGAAAATACGGTATAGCTGTTTATCAAGCAATGAGTCGTGCTAAACTAGATCGTTTCCCTTCGAGCTTTTTACTTAAAATAACCATTGACCACATCGTCAGCTGGTGAAAGGAATGAAATATATTCAACGGGATAAGGCTACTTTCCTTAGCGGTTGTAACTGATACCATCACGTCATGAATATTATTGAAAATGGACTCTTATAATATACATATAATTTTTGATAGTTCTGGCTATCTTATATTGTCCTGACACGCTGGGACGATTTGCATTCTCTCGTTACAGCTTCCCTTTTAGTTGGCGATGAAGTGGTCGATGCCACACGGAGCGAAGTGCTGCAGCGCAGTCGATATCGAAAAGGAAGTAATTGTCAATCAGGTAGATCCGGGAAAAAAGACAGAAGCTGCTGTTTCGCCTTGAACCACAGCTTTATAAGTCACGATGATTCTTCACTAAAGCAAACTTTTTGCCTGAGGGGATTGGGCCGAGCATGGGTAGAGTATAGACGTGTTTTTGCTAGCTCCGCTCAAAATTCGTATATGGAGGCCTCTACATGGCAGAAAAAGGAGAAAAGTTCAGACGAAAAACTCATGTAGAGAGAACTGGGCCAACTTGGAGAAGTGTATCCAACTCGTCGGAAGAAGAATCCCTTTCACCGTTGGAGAAGAAAGCCAAAGTCAAGTTGCACATGTCTGACACGGTGCAATCGAGCGAAGAAGACGAAACCGCCGCTGCCGTGGAGTTGGCTAATTCTGTAATGCCGAAGCTAGACCTTGTTCTGCAGAAGTTAGACAACATGGAAAAGAAATTGGACATCCTTGAGGGTTTTGTGAAAGTGGTCGATGGAAAGGTTAACAAGTTACAGGATAAAGCTGAGCAGTTTGAAAGCTTCAGCAGGGACGCCACAACAAAACTGAAGGTGTTAGATGAAGGAATGTCGTTCGCAAATACAGAGATAGAAAATTTAAAGAAGAAAGTAAAGCTTCTGGAACAAACTATCCAAGAAAATACAGTAAACACCGAAAACAAATTCAAGGGAAAGATCGAGGCCTTAAGAAACGAGAAGTTGTATATGGAGGTGTATCAAAGACGGGAAAACCTTCGCTTCTACGGCATTGCTGAATCTTTCCACCTCTCAGAAGAAAATGTCAAAGAGGTGTTAATTGGCTTTATACAGAAGGAACTTAACATCAGCGAGGCGGATTCTTTTGAGTATCAACGAGTGCACCGCATTGGCAAGCGCGACCCATCGCAAGAAAAACCAAGACCAATAATCGCACGTTTTTTGCGATACTCCGACAGAGAGCGAGTCATGTCAAGTGCAAGAAAGCTGAAAGGAACTGGTTTCGGAATATCGCCAGACCTTCCGAAAGAAATTGTGGACCGCAGAAAGGAATTAATGCCTAAGTTCAAAAAAGCAAAAGAAGACGGAAAATCGGCGTTCTTCAAAAGATCAGAGCCGGACAAACTTTTTATTGAGGGTATACGAATCTTCTAATTTCTTTGGAACATAAACTCTCTATCTAGGTATTCATAACATGTAAGCCTCATTCACACTTGTTCTTAAAAATGGAGCTGCATGCGTGTCATCTAGTTAGCGCAATGCGTGCAAGACCTATTCCATTAGTAGCGCAATTAACAGCTTTTATCGCTGGCTACTGTTTTACATACATGTTCAATTGTAGTTGTAGGTGTTATAAATGTTTTTCTTTTGTTTCTTTTTCCTTTTCAATATTAATTAGTTTTACCTTTTTTTTGTTCAAGAGACATGCAAATTTTTTCATTAGCTCATCTACTAAAGATTACTATCTCATTCTCTGCAACTGCTCGCCTTTTCACTTAAATATGTCCTT